CTCTCTCTCTCTCTCTCTCTCTCTCTCTCTCTCTCTCTCTCTCTCTCTCTCTCTCTCTCTCTCTCTCTCTCTCTCTCTCTTTTTTTCTCTCTTTTTCTTTGTCTGTCTGTCTGTGTGTGCCTGTGTATGTGTGTGTGACAGCGTGGAGGCTCTGCAGAAAACGCTCGCCTCTCTCCTTGGCATCCCAGCCCAGGAGCAAATTCTCATCTGCGGATCTGCGAAGTTGGACTCTTCGAAAGTCCTCGCCGCCTACCATCTGCCATCCGATGAGAAGAGACTGTTTTTGTTCAACAAAGCCAGACTGATAAGTGGGGCGCCACCACCTCCTCCTGAGGATGTCGAGATTGTGGAGCCTCAGATCCCGACTGGCCCGTCGTCGGTCGTCATGGGAGCACGCCACCCCCTCCTCGATTCCGACAGCCCTCTGCTTCAGACTCTGCCTAATTACGAGCGGCAGTTCAAGTACCATCTTCAGAAAGGCCACGCCATCTGGCAAGCCAGTCAATCACGATTTGACACGTGTCAGCGCCTCGTTGAGGAGCAAAAGGTCCAAGAACAGGCCATTTTAACTGGGAGGGGCAACATGGCTATCTACTACAAGCACATCTGTCATCAATACAAAGACTTCATGAAGACGTACGAGCGGCAGCATAAACACCACACAGATCTGCTGAACAATTTCGAGAAGGAGATGGCCAGACTCAGAGCCTGCCAGTTGCACCCTGACCTGCAGGCAGAAGGACGGAGAACGCTGCTTGATTGTGAGAAGGAGGGGGAAATTCGTCAGAGGGCGGCAGACTGTGCAGCCAAGAACAATCACTTCAACTCCAAGGTAGCAGACCTGAGTGCGCTGTTTGCTGAGATGCGGCGGAGTGTACAGGAATTAGAGACCACACCACTGGACGTGGATGTTAGACAGCTGGCGTTCAAGATCGACGACAGTCAGAAGTACATCGAGGAACAGACAAGCATTCTCACTAGCTTAACGTAAATATATATGTATATATGTGATGATATATATATATATATTCTTGTGACAATATATATATATGCCTTTTGGCTGTGTGCAAGTGGGTCGATATGACACACGGGGGTGGGGGCAGCCGCCGCTCAACCTACATCCACGTGGGCGGCCTTGTATGCAAGAGGTTCTGAACAGGGGGAGTTAAGAGGAAGAAGATAAAAAATTGAATTCACTTTTCTTTTCTTCTTTTTTTCTTTTTTTTGCATTTGCGCTCTGATATTTTGTGATATATATATATATATATATTCTATTTGACGATATATATATATATATATATATCGCAGTTCTGTTTGTGACGATATATATATATATATATATATATATATATATCTGGTGTGGGTGAGTGA